AAAAATTGAGCGAAATCAAACTGCGTTTGTAAATGCCGACACATTCTGACACGGATTCCTGAAGAAGGAAAAGGAGGTGGAAGGGAATGTTCCCCTGCTCGACTCGTTTGTTTACTAAATAATAGTTACAACTAACTAACAGAGAGACATTTCGGGTGAATCGGGTGAATCACGCGCGGAGTGGCGCGGTCGGAAGTGAGTAGACGGCAAGCATCTAGTGGGATCGGAAGGAAATTATACAACGATAACGGGTGCGTAAGATCGATAGGGCGCGAGAAGCGATAAAGGTGGAAAGGCCGGCGTGCGAATGTTTCGAGTGCCGGATGACTGGAATCCGCGGACTGTGGCTCGGCGGTGTGTGTCGGTAAATTTCCGAGAAAAGCCGGCGTCAAGACGTAATCGTATTAGACGGCGTGCAAGTCATAGCAGGGGGATCTTATTGGCCGAGAACGAAGACGCCCACAATGTACACGCTTATATAGTACTCTAGTGCTATGCGGTGTTCATTCATAGTTCCACTCCTGTCTAGTCATTCATTAATCCGATACGGCGAGAGTGTCCTTACAGAGCGTGCGCTGATCACGACTCTCAATCGTTCGAGTGACCCCCTTCGAGTTCGCGCTCACGCTCGTTCGCGCGCCCGTGCGTGCGTGCGCGCGCGTGTGTGTATGTGTGTGTGTGGGTGGGTGTGCAACGTCCTACGATACTCGTGAAATCGAGAAGTACCAGCTCGTCGACAAGGTGGATTAAGCATCGAACACGGAGAGAATGCGAATAGGTGAGAATGACTCACGATCAGACTCGGTTTCATACGAACGTTCTAGGAAGCGAGGAAACGGCTTACCGTTCGGCCAGCGCGACGCGTTTAAAATAGCCGATGCCACGGAAAAATCGATCGGCCGGTGCGCATCGGCCTCGCTGATGCACACATCTTCTTCTCTTCCCGTTTTCTCCCTTTTCTCTTTCCACCTAGCATCGCTTCTTTGCTTTTTCGCATCGCACTCTGTGTTTCGTTGTCAACTTTTTCAATCGAGTCGAAATCTTATTACAAGAGAGAGAGAAAGAGAGAGAGAGAGAGAGAGAGAGAGCGCGCGCATCGGTTAAAGATGATATTCCAGTTCGAGCCAGTCTCATCGATTTCAACAGTGCAACACGGCACAGTCTTTAGGCTATTTTTACTTTCTCGTGGACATCAATTTTCCAATCGCGTCGTACACACTTAACGCGTACTACTTTCCTCTGGAAAGATTGTCAGAGATTGCCAGCTTGCTCTCCCCGTTTCTTTATGCTCGATCCAGCTTTCGTGGATGAATGGATGGATGGATGGATGGATGGATGGATGGATGGATGGATGGATGGATGGGTGGGTGGGTGGATCGATCCTCTCGAACGTTAACGGAACTAATGGATTTCAAGCTTCCGCTCTCGGCACCGAGAAGCCGCAAAGTCGCCTGAAACAAATCGCTCGTGCCACGGCTTCTCCACGGCCGAGTTGAAAACGCCATTCACACTGCCCGGCAAAAGCCGCTATCTTTTATCGTTCTTTTATCTGCCGGTCGGTCGTCGATTCTTAAAACCCAGCGAAAGAAGTGTGGCGCTTCCTCTGCGCTTTTTCTGCGACAAACGAGAGGAATGCGACGGCAATCGTTCGGGTAATCGCTCGAACTTGGACTATTTCGCTGATTTTGTAAGAATTCTCTCTGTCTCTCTCTCTCTTTCTCTCTCTTTTTCTGCCTCTTTGCTTTTTTTCTTTTTATCCGAACCCTTGCTCTTCTCTCATTACGAGTACGGGTCCACGTATGTACGTACGTGAGCTATACATAAAGAGTAAACACGAAATTGCTGTTGCTAAGACGCTACAGACGCTATAGGCGCTTTGTAACGAACAAACAAAGTTACGTGCCGGCCAGTTATCAAACGTGAATCATCCTCACTGGTGTGTCTATACATCACTGATTGCTACCTGTCGTGTAGGAACTTTATCTCTGAGCGAGTTAATGCGAACAATGACATGGTACGAAAACTATTTGCGATTGCAGAGTAACATAGCGTGTATCTATCTATTACTCTGGATGAGAATTTTTCATCTGGATGAATTTCGAAACAGAATTTTCTCTAGTCTCGATATTCGGTTCTTAGCTTGGCTCTACCTCCATAGGCAGATTAACGGAAGAAACGATTAGAATCCAGAGAAAAGAAATTTGTACGTGGCAGAGGTAGGTATTTTGCAACAATGCCCGAGGATGATAGATAGAAGGAAAAATCAAAAAGTGCGTGACAGTGTGGTGTTGTTCTTTCGCGGTGTGCTCCGCGAGTTGACGAAAGAATGACCGAAGAAACCGTGTCTGTGAGGCAAAACGAGAAATAAGTGGTGCAACGGTGCCACGTATTTCCGTTCTAATGACTAGCAAAAACCTGACACCTGCATCGACCGACCAGTGTCGGAAACAACGACCGTCGAAGCCGGCCGAGAAATCGACCGATTTCAGGAGTTAGCCTTGCGTAACGAGAATTTTCCATTTTTCCTGCCCAGGTACGCCAATTGTTTGAAAAGTGTGTGCGCCTTTGCCGCGTTATGTAACGAAAATGTGAGAAACAGAAACGATAAAACTCGGGGAAACCCCTGCCTGCCTGCCTGCCTGCCTGCCTGTCTGTACTCTCCTTGACAGTGTTGATTCTTATCGAGATACTAGTCTCGGACAATGTCAATGCAACTCGATGGAACGGAATACGCGTTCGAACGCGAGGCAACTTCGCACGAATATTCTTACGCGTCGCGGTTAACGCGCGCAGACGTACAGCCGGTTACACTGATTAATCGTGACTCGGAGAAAACAAAATTCAACAAAATTCCACAACGCACGAGCCACTGAAGAAGAATTATTCTGTTATCTGACAGTCCAGCTAGCACGTGGCAATTAACAACGCTCCTTTTGCGAAAGGTAGATTCCTGACAGATATAGATTTCTCGTATCAGCGTCGGTAGTTTTTACGAATTTCACGAGATACGTGTTCTTGTATTTCTGTACGTTTCGTGAAAAATTGCCAACGCACGTGTACACACGCACACGCGTACATCGTGCGCGCGGAAGAGAAGGGAGAGAATTTTGAGCTACGGCGTGAGACGAGAAAGATTCAGTCCGATGTGCATCGAGAAGAGAGGAGTTTCACATGGGCAAATGACTCGCTTTGCGGAAGGATTTTGCGCGACACGCCGTTAGGCTCGACTACCGGTTAATTAACAACGTGACACGGTAATTGGCGCGGTAATTCGATCCTCCTGTCCCGGATGAACGCTTGGCATGAGGCCCGGGGCCTAGGGTTAAGAGAGCGCGCATCGTTAAATTAAAATCCTGAGGCGATCGGCGTGGCACGGTACCATCGCATCGCATCGCATCGCATCGCATCGCATCGCATCGCATCGCATCGGCTGGACTTGTGGCGCAAGTCGCTGCCTTCTAATTTATATATAAATATTCGAATAATTTGCACGCGCTAATAGGGCCGAGGAACGATCCACGGCGTCGTTCGACGCGTATACCTATGTATCTATGTATGTACGCACGTGCGTACGTACATAGAAACACCTTGCGTATCGCCTCCGAGCGATGCGAATTCGCCTCGCTCCGAATTCTGCCAGGCAACGTTGATATTACCCGTCATCGAGTCCGGTATGACGAGTTTCTTACAATCGTTTCATCAAACACGTCTAATCGCGGACATAATCATCTTATCGGTGACGTTAGGTATCCGACGGCGTTAGCGTGGCGCATTGAAGAAAACGTCGTCGCGCGACTGATAACGTCGTTGTCCGGTCAATCTGGTTACTGTTTGCAAGCTTTTGGAGCAAAACTACTCCCCCCTGCAATTTGGCTCCAAAATCGTCCATCGACTTTCCTCTCTTGTTCGATCTTTAGACGCAAGTGTCACAATGTTTTTAAACTTTTATTATTCGGAACTTCGAAGTTTTTGGATCGTTTAGAAATGGATGGTTTTCAAGTAACGTGATATTCTTTGCGTTTAACAAAAGAAAAAAAAAAAAAAAACAAATTGGTTTCATTAAATTCCATTATATTGGAAAATACCAATTTTTGAAAAAAAAGAGACATTAAAAGATTAAATGATTGACGCGTTGTTAATGGTACTTTGTTCATCGCGTGATTCGACATTTTAATTCTTGTTATCGGTATCGTGTCGACAACGTGTTGCTAATTTCGAGTCACTATTTCACGGAGGGTGAGGACATGGATCGAGGAAAGAGATCGTTGGAATCAGCATTGGCGTGAAAGGAGAATGCGCAGACAATTTTGAAAGCAAAGTGTATACTTTTACTGGAATTTTATCGAAACGTCGCGTCGCGTCATAATCTTTCGGGTCGATGTCACTCGGTGATGCGATCGAACGTACGAATAATCTGATTTTGGATCAACGGTACGTACTTGAAACGAAGAAACTGATTCATTCACCGGGGAAGGGGAAGGGCGAGTTGGTACAAAGCAAAAATTGGGAAAAAACGTTCAAACGAGATGGGACAACAACAAATTTCTCAATTGTACAATCGATCAACGAGCAGACAGATCCGCAATATTTGACGGCCGAGTATTTGACAGAGTAGAGATAGAGTGGTGGCGAGATAGGGGGAGGAGGATGAAAGGGGTTAGTTAGGGGAGAGTTGGTAGCAGTACGCGTAGCTGGAACGAAAGGATCGAGGAAGCTTGGGAGGAAGCGCATCGTGTGGTACACGCTACATCAATCCCCCGTGGAAGGAGGGGGCAAAAGATATCGGGTCGAGGGTGGCGTGCAGTCGCACGGCAGGGAGGACTGGGAGGGCAGGGAGGACTGAAAGGTAGCCGGAGGAGCAGAAGGAGTGAAGGAGCACGCGGGAGGTGGGGTGTCGTAGGAGGTGGGACCGAGCGTTGCGGTGAGCGAGCGTGCGAGAGCAAGAGCAAGAGCAAGAGCGAGAGCGAGAGCGAGAGCGAGAGCGAGAGGACGAGGTGAGTAGCGCGAGTCCGTGAGCCCCCGAGCCCGTGAGCCCGAGTGAGTAACTGGGAGTCGCAACCGAGGACCCACTCAGTCACCACGAGATCGGCAAGCCGAATGGTCAACCGCGCCGGTTCTCCCGCTCGGAACTCTGCGCACGGCAAAAGGGATCGGGACAAGGGCACGTTGTACCTTCGGATGTCAACCAGCGTGCTGCCCCTTCGTGGACGAATCGTTGGAATCGCGTCGCTGCCGGTGGAGCACGCGGCCCTCCATTTTCCGCAACGATCGCTCGAGCAACGACGAGTCGAAAATACGTTCGCACGATGTGGAGATTTCTGGTGCGCTGTTATGTCACGCTGACATCCATCTGACGCGATCGGTTCTTTTCTCTCTCTTTTCTCTTTTTCTCTTTTCTCCTTTTTTTTCTTTTCTCTTTTTTTTTCTCTTTCTCTTCCTTTTCCTTTCTTTGACGTTGCGTTGTCGCATCTCGCGTCACGCGTTTCGCGCAAATACGCGACGCGCTCGGGGGGAGGGGGCCTGCTCTCTTTGATATCGGGCATCGCGTCTCGCTTCTCGATCCATCTCGGTTTCGAGGGACACTGACTTTCTCGGAGAGGGGGGAGAGGAAAAAGAGGAAGTTGCGGTGGCACCGGAAGTGCGTGAGTGGATGCGAGCAAGAGCCATCGACGGGAGAAGCCCAAGACTCTCCTGCAGAAGGACGAGGAAGAGATGATCTACGAGCTGCTGGTGGCCGGAGCGTTCGCCCTCGCCACACTAAGGCGGTGTGTGTACATTGTTAAATTCTATCCACTTTCTCTCTAGCTTTTTATCTCATTTTCTTTTAATTTTGCTTTGTTTCGTTTCGTTTCGTTTCGTTTCGTTTCGTTTCGTCGCAAAACGCGTTTCGAGCAAAAATCTCGCTCCTGTTGGAAACAGGTCTCTCGGTTTTAAAATTCGACGAATCTGCCGACCATCTTTTCAAACACGACCGACCGCTCGTGTCCGCTTGTTTAGCTTGTACTTGCTGGAAAACTGCAATTTATTTCTACCGTGAGCATTTCGTGGAATCACTCGCAGGAAAGAACTAACGACAAGGTGCATCTAGCTTCTCTAGAGTTTTGCCGTAATGTACATAATGATGCAGTGACACGTGAGGATTCCTCGCGATGCTTCAGCCACTTTTTTTTCTCTCTTTCTTTATTTATACGCGTTGCACGATTAAAACATCTTTAGAAAGAAACTGTTTAAGCGGCTGTACCGCGTCCCGGCTGTAATTGTCTCCCGACTATAATTGACCAGTTGCGATTCGAAAATATACCGCGTGTCATTTCCTCTTTAACGATCGAGATTACCTTCCCTCTCGCCGCGTTTTCTTTTTCTATGTTTGTAACAATTTCGACCATGCTTTCTAATCACTATTCTCCCGATAACAAAAAGTAATTGATGTACGGTCGACGCATCTTACCGTCGCGTCGCGTCGTCGCGACAAATTACAACGATTTGAAAAATTGAATGGTTTTCCTACGAACGAACGACGAAATAATCGAGTCGCTGATAACTGAAACAATCATTTACGCGACTCTTGCAAACGAGAGGTGTTACAATTTCACCTCGTTTGCTTAAAAATAATACGTGATGAGTAATTATCATAGTTGCACAACGATCCTAACCATTGAATGAGCTAATTGAATTTCTTATCGTACGATAGTTGGTATCTTACATGCTGTAATCGCCTACCGATGAAATTCGGTCCGCCAACTTGGCTATAGCCGCGCTAGCCTATTTAACAGGTATACGTCGATAAGATAGCTCGCGAAATAGAAAACTAGACATTTAAAAAACATTTAAAAAAGTTATTTATTCCGTTCGTTTCAAACGACACCTTCCAACAACTTGAATCCATTATTTTAAGTAATTTGAGTAATTTGAGTAATTTTCAGAAAAGGTAGCCTATTTTCGCTCGTATCTCATTGAAAAACTCAGAGACCAAACGAAAGAAATAAGACCAATGACACCGCGTTTGAACCTGTCGACGAGTCGAACGCGTCGAACAATTTAGAAGCGTTACGTCACGCACAAACATTAATGGTTATCTCGACAGTGAGGTAGAGAAGATACGTATTATTTCTTTCTTCAATCGTAATCTCGAGTTTAGGATACGAACGAATATGAGTGTTATTTTTCACGACGATAACGATGCGCGTGCTTTTCATGCATTATACGACGCAGATAACAGGGAGACGTATTGCTCCAACGTAGAGCTTCGCGTGACACGGCCTGACACACTCTCTACTCGAGCGAATGCGATTAGAACGTCATCATCGGTCATTAATAGATCTTTATAGGAAAAATTGGTAAACGATGACTAAGCATCGAACCGAAGCGACACACGTACCTACGTATCTCTACGCATACGCACACGTACGTGTGCCGCGGCCGGTGTTTATTTCACTTGAGAAATTATTGTCAGTGTACACAGCGTACACATCTTTTTCCCATCCGTTCGATCCTTCTCTCTTTAGTATGCACTTTGCTTTCACTGGAAAAGTTTGCGTTACGATTTTGCAAACCGAAGGGAAACGGTACGAAAGGCTGGTCGAACATGTACATACGTTTGACTTGGGATGGAAAAATTGTCTAATTGCACGGTTTGTAAATGAACTATCGCGGCTGGATAGAACCGATCGTGTAATTACTACGCAGAGTCGGAATTCAATCCGACGTATAAATCGTGTCGAAAAGAAATTAACTGGCGGGAGAGAAGGGGGTACTGGCCGAGAAACTGGTCCTTTGAGCGTTTCAAATAAATCCAAATCAAAATTTTCGTAAAACGATACGGGATCTTGAGTTTCGCGCGCGACTGATCTTTACGTCTCTCTCGTATCTTAAATTTGCCAGCGTCATCTCCACGAGACGGTGTTACATTGTCGCGAATATCAGGATTAATTTTATTTTACAATAATAATATCTATGAAAATTTCATTGAAATTCTGGAACCCATAATTTGCAGTCGACCATTGTAACGCAGACGCGACTCGTTACTACGTGTCGTTTACTTTACGACTTTACGAATACACAACATTTACGAGATGTTTTCAAATTTTCGTTTCGTTAGATAATCTTCTAAAACGTCAAAAAACGGTGACTGATAATTTGAGAATCCATCTCTCTTCATACTTGCAGGTAATGACATGTAACGACGAGATATTAAATCTTAAAATTGCTTCCGTAACATGGAAGTTTTTCCCTCGTAGCTGTTTCCTTCGATATACTTAATGAATGGCATGAAGAGTCAAGACAAAAGTCTCTTGCTGACATATAATAGATAGAATCCTAGCGCTAAATTTTAGAAAAAAGTAACGACACACGAAAACATGTACGAGAGAGATTTTCTGATTTTTGGAGTTAGTTACGTGCTCGGCTCGACTATCAAGAAACGAGAAATCTCGGATTTTGGACGCGTCTGTCGAGAAAGAGGGGTGGGAAAAGCGGGAGTGAAACGGCTCGATTTGCTCGATTACGGGTCGATACACGTGTAGTCAACAGGTACGGTGAAAAGCATCACGTCGAGTGTCGGTGCTGGAGATTGGAGATTGGAGATTGGTGCTGGATATCAGTATCGGTGTGTTGTTGCCATTGCCGATGCCGGGTCTGTGAACAGTCGTGCAGCCGAGCAGCCGTGGAGCCGAGCAGTCGAGCAGTCGAGCAGTCGAACAGACGAGCAGTCGAGGAGGCTACGGTCGCCGATAGAGGCGTGCGCCCGCGCCGCACAGTGTTGATCCGGGACACACACCGACTGTTTGCTCGGGGTACCATCGCGGACCCTTTTTTCATGTTAGCTCCGAGTCGAGTCACAACACTAGTAAAGTTACAAAAGCCAAAGGCAAACAGATCCGGGGACGGGCCTTAACCGGTTTATCAAACACTCGTGCGCCCCGGAGGTGGTCTCTCGTAGGTTGCTGAAGGTGACGAAGACGAGAGATTTCGAGGACGACGACGACGACGACGACGACGACGACGACGACGACGAGGGCGACGTCGTCGTCGACGTCGACGGAGCTTCGTCATTCTTCCTGGACGCGCGTGTACGTATATGTATGTCCGTACACGTATGCATATACTTGGGTGATTCGCGACGGGACGAGGAGACAAGTTCACTGCTCTTAATGGCACACGAGACGAAACCGATCGTTCCACCGGAGGTGGAGTGAAACGAACGAAGGAGGAGTCAAACAAGTGCCAAGGCAAACCTTCTTTTCTTTTGTCAAGTACGTTTCAGCCGCCGTGAAACCATCACTCTCCCAACTGCCATTTATATTCATTTGGGATTTTTGCTACGTTGCTACTTTATCCTTTGCTGTCGCGATGACACGAGCTATTCGGCCGATATACCGATACCGAACCGTGTCGATTCATACACTCTGTACTCGGGACGTAACCATCAAAATCAAAGTTGCAAACAAGCACCATAAATCTCAAGTATATTGCAAATCAAAACTTGCGAAACGTCTATTGAAAATTTACGCAACGACGAGTGTTGATTACATGTTTCGGTGCTTCGTGTTACGTACACGTAGTTTCTTATAGAAATGGACAAAGGACGATTCAGATTTCTTATCAGCAAGAAAACTTTATCGTCTTGTTTTTATATACTTGCGATCGAGGTTAAAGATTCGCCAGTTTTTTCATGCTGGCAAAAAGTCCGAACGTCCTAACCGCGTTCCATCGCGGCTATTGTACTATTGAGCGTTTATTCTTGTCAATCTCGGTCGCTGACCCGCGACTCTGTTTTGCTAGGTATCCTTAAGGAAGCGGTCAGCTTCGTCCCTTCGATGAGCCGCTTGATTTTGGTCTCATTCGGGCGGGTTGCGCTAGGGCAATCAAACGGCAATTATACTTTGCAACGATTGGCTAGCATCGGCTAGTCAATGTCTGTTAAACAAGCTCGCAGGTAGCGAGCGGTAAGTTGAATCGAGAATCCATGCCACGAGCCCAGATCAGAGTGCGCAAAGCTACTCGAGAACTCGAGAGATCTACGTGTCCTTCCACGCCGGTAAAACACACGCTTGCAGTCACTTACCGAGGAGAAGTCGCTTGAATTTTCAATCAATCTACGACTCACTGTCCGCGAGTTTAATGCACAAACCCTTACGCACAGTGCAAATTCTTACGATCGTTTAACCTCGCTGAAGTCATCGCGTTGCAACGCTAACAAACGCTTTACACCGGCACCTCGACCAAGCTAGGCGCCTCGGCAACGAATGTAACGGCAATACGTTGTATTTTATCGTTCGAATACGCGAGATATACATATTACGTAGCGTATCGGGTGTTTTTAATAACGTACGATTGAATTGCCGAGCGATTTCCGGGCACGTACGCGCCCGTTACGTACGATCGTGTTGTCCGTGCTTTTTGTTGCCCGAGCGTCGGTGAAAAAAGCTGGCGTAACGAAAATTCACAAGTCAGGGGTGAAAGTGAACAATGCAATTTCACCAACTGAAATTATACGCTGCATTCCAATCACCGAAATAGGGTCGCCGAGAGAAAACCATTCGAAATTGCACCAATCGCAATTTGTCCTTGCCTCGACCCCTTCACTTCCACAGAAAATTACACGAAACAACCAAAAACTGTTTCGTGTCGTTTGCCATACGCATTTCGATCGTTCGGCGAATTAAAGGTACGACTCTCACGAAACGAGCAGGCACACGTGTGCACAAGTGCAATTGTAATAATATTTCGTACGTTGAAAGTCACAACGGATCGTTGATGAACCGCGAA